TGAACAAGTTATGGGCCCAATTTATCACAAAGTAACGATTTATGAATGTATTTATGAATGTAAATCAATCCGTTACATTCTCAATTTAGAATGCAGAAAACTGAAATAAGCATGGCTGGTGTAGAATGTATTATCTATAAACAAATACAATGGACAAAATTATTCACAATGGAAATTTCAATTTACTAGTGCCCTTAAGGCAAAAGAAGTATTTTCTGTTGACAACAGAATTAAGGTAAAGCGAGAAAATGATGAAGTGGCAACAGCAAAATGGAAAAAAGACGATGTGATTGCAATGTTTATAATATTGTTCTGCAATGAAACTTGCACAAATTACATTTATATAGAATTGTTCTTTATCACAAGGAATTCTTAAAAAATTGGATTTTATCTTCAAGTTGAAATCTGACTTTAACAAAATATTGCTGCTTGACAAATTTCATTAGATGAAAATGGAATACAATGAAACAATAGTGCAATACACTGCAAAAATTGAAAATCTTGCTAATCAAATCAGACTCTGATGAAAGCATCAAAGATGCAAATATAATTACAAAAATTATAGGAATACATTCCTCTAAACATAGAAATTCAAGACAAGCCGGTTATTTGTTGATGAGAGTAAATAAAACTTGTCAAATCTGACCATAAGACTCATCAATGCAGAAATGTCTTTGTCACAATCCGAGAAAAGTGAGTCTGCATTTCTTGCTTCTAATTGCAGTAAATTTAAGCAAACAAGGCAATGTATGCAAGATTCAGAAAGTGAGAACAGATTTAAAAATAATAATAAAAACGTAGATAGAATTAAATAAATGTGCTATATTTGCTGTAAGAAAGAACATTATGCTCAAGAATCCCATTTCAAGATGTGTGGAAAGGAAATTGGTGTTCCAGAAAGAACTATAAGAAATTACGAAGCAGCAAAAGAGAATCTGCATCTGGTGCATCTGCTCATATGACCTACAATCTCAGCTACTTTGACAGCTTCAATGAGACAATTGAAAACCTTGGCAACAATTTAGGATTGCCCATTAAAGGAAAAAGGAATGTAAAAATCCAGAAGCTTCTTCATGGTACATGGCGAAGAGGAAAAATATGTAGTATTTTCTATGCAGATTTAAAGATAAATCTTAGCTCTGAAGGAATTATTCCAGGTAAAAGAATGATGATATTAAAAATGCAAGAACATGCTGATTTATACAATTATGAAAGTTAGTTACGTGGCTCAGCAGTACTTTCTGCAAACAATCTGTATTACATCCTTTTTAAAATTATAATTTCTTCTGAAGCAAACATTCCTCACTAGGATAATAATTCAAGAATATAGCATGAAAGAACAGGATACATAAACTTAAAAATCCTTTGTGAACTGATCGATAAAGGACTAATTGAAAAGCCAGATGTCTGAAACAAAGAAGATATCCGAAATAAAGATGAAATCTTTTGTGAAGGTTATCAGTATGGTAAGAAACATAGATTTCCATTTATTTCTACAGAATATAAGGCTACTAAACCAGCAGAATTAATAGTGACATTTGTGGTCCTATATCTACAGAGTCAGTAGGTGGGACAAATGATTTCATACTAAAGAAAGATGATTACAGTGGATTTGGAACAATTTCTTCTTTTAAACACAAAAGTAGTGCTTTAGAATCATTCAAAACTTTTGGCCAGCTATGTGAAAATAAATTTGGTCAGACATGGCAATGGAACCGGATACATTAATCTGCATTTCAGCGATTTTCTGAAAAATGAAGTATTGAGTTCGAATACATCTCCTTATACTCCACAGCAAAATGGAAGACCTGAAAGGGACATGTATAAAATTATGGATGGTGCTTGATCTATGATGTATTCCAGTTGTCATAAATCAAATGTGTAGCATGTTTCTCAAAAATTATTGCTGTAGCATACTGATCACAAATGATGTTGCTGATGGCGAATTCCTCAGAATTACTCAAGTCATACTGGCACTTGTAAGAAGGATTTGCATGATAAGTAAGACTTGAAAGGGTAATAAATATATTCTTGGAAATAATTCAGTAGATATGCTGAATGGTGCGTTGAGTGTCCATACTCTTTCCAAATTTAACTCAGTTCTTTGAAAGGTCACAGATGCACGTGGGCTGACAATAATGAAAATCCACTGCTGACAATGTGTTCATTTATGAGGGTCACCAGTTTTTGGTGGTAATGTTGACTTAATGAAATTATTAAATGCAGGCTGTTACTACAACAAAAATTATATTTCAGCCTAACATTACAATTAAGAAAAAGACATACATTAATGCTACATAAAGTTGGAATGGAGGCATGAGTATATACATACAACATCCATGAAGCCATCAGTAGAACTGGTCTGCCCTGATTTGTTTGCTTACCTCTATCAACCATCTCCCTGGCAGGGTGGTGCCATCTCTTGGGTGTAACTAAAATGCCACAGGTTCTATAAATGAAGTACACAACGATTTGCTTAATAATCTTCGCAGCTCAAATAATGAAGATATCCATTATAACCTGCATATCAGGAACACTTTAAAAAATCTTCTGTCATTATGATCTCATTGCGACAAATATTTGATACCTGAGATGTATGAACAGGCAATGAACTCTCCTCAAGAGACAACAGGAAAGAAGCCATAAATGCAACATTAAATTATCTCAATAAAAATAAAACATGGGATCTTCTACCTTGACCAGAGACAGGTCACATAATTGGATCTAACTGGGTGTTCAAAGTAAAATATCTTCCTAACACAAAAATTGATAAATTCATATCAAGACTTTGTACCAAAGCGTTCTCTCTGCAGGGAATTGACTTACGAGAAACCTTTTCACAATTTCAAGATTTGACACTATAAGAGTCCTCTTAGCTGTAACTGCACAGAGAAATTTGAAAGCCATACAAATCAACCTAAAAACTGTGTTATGGTATGGTTAAACGGAAGAAATAATATTCATGGAATCTCCTCCAGGCTTAAATTATGCAAAAAATTTAATGTGTCAGCTCAAGAAATCTCTGTATGAATTGAAATAAGCAACTAGAAGTTGGAACTAGACATTTTCTGAATTTTTAACTAGTTTTTGTTTCAAGCAAAGAGCCTCTGATTCATGTGTTTTTAGTGATGCCTCTCAAAATAAGAAAGTATTTTTAATTCTACATGTGGATGATGCTTTATTGTTTTGTGAAGAACAGAAAATATTATTTGAAATTGTGGATGATTTGAGGAGGAAGTTTGAAGCAACAATTTGTGAAACAGGATGTTTTGTTGGAATGCATACTGACTGGAGAGCAAAATTTAAAAGATTAAGTGAACTGCTCAATATAAAAGATAGGACACTTATGTGAACATTTAACAGATTTGCATTAGTTAACTTTTCCTTAAATTTTGTTTTAAGTTTTGCGTTCGATTCAATAAATACTTGAGCTTTCTTTGCTTATGTCACTGATTATGCTTTTGTTAGTTCAAGGTATGACATAATTGGAGGGAGTGTTATATTCGTAATTCTGTTGTCACAATTTCTTTGTACTTTTTGGCAACACTATTATAGTCTCGTGTTTTTATTTTATGAATGTGTTTCAGTGGCATGTGCCGTCTGTGATTTTGTTGTCACTTTTTTTTTTTACTGTAAGCCTAAATAAATTTATTTAGACAAGCAATGTGAACAATACAAACTTTTAAAATCAGGTTAATCAAAAATATTTTTCATCAAAAGAACACTATTGTTTGCAATTAAAAACTCTCGTAAGTCCAAGTCGCTTACTTGACATTTTAAACAAAATAGTCTGTTATCAAGAGCCTCAGCTTTCACTCAAGAGTTTTCTGTATTCATGCAGTTTACCACATGCTTTTACTATTTAATTTGTAAATTAAAAAATTTTGACAAGAAATTTGATCTTTTATGAAATATTAATAGTTCTGTTGTTACAACCAGGGAATGAATACCTGTTTAGATCACCATATAGCCGTTGCATTTTTTAAAGGCTAGCAGAGTGAAGCCACAGGAACATGTTTCCATTTGACGAGGATTAAGCAGTAAAGTGGCCTCACTTTTTAGATATGACACTACTGATTACATGTGTACTTTATTATAGTATTTTTTTTTTTGTTTGTTTTTGTATATCAACAAATAGTTCTTATTTTTTTTTACACTGTGACTAATGTGACAGGAAAAAAAAAAAAAAAGAGGCTTAAATGATTTATAATAGCGAATTTCAAAAAGCAGTATCAAAGCCAGCATACAAGGACCCATCTGAAATGCACTCCTTATTTTTATAGATACCAAACAAAGCATTAATTTTGACATTTTTTTAAAGATTAGAATTGGCATGCGACTTTTATTTTACACTAGCTAAAAGTTCAACACAAAAGACAGATATTTGTAATTAAAACTCAATATTTATTTATTAGGATGAACTGTTAATTTCCAGATCTATTTTTAATGCCATGAAAGATACCAACACTGTTAAATCATTTGATTTAGTATTATTGGAAGCAATAAGTGTATTTAACTCTCATTTTAAGACTACACATTTGAAATATGAATGAACTTCACATGATTATAAAATACTTTGCTTAAATGCATGTTATAAATAAACAGATGCAATTCCCACATTTTCCCTTTCATATATTTCAATCTTACAGATATGAATAAATCTGAAAGGGAGGCGAGATAATTTTACACATGAATTTCATAATGATATCAGTCATAAACTGACAAGTCTCAGTAACTTTAAAATTAATTCTTTTTCTGATAAATATAGTCTAATGGGAAGATGGTTTGAATAATTCTTTTTAGCTCATAAAAACGTTCATGAACTACCATTTTCACTTGCATTAAGATGAAAGCAACAAAACTTATTGCACAACAAAATAGTTAGTTATTATTCAAAGCTTTGTTGTGAAATTAGCTGGTGTTCTCTACAGCATTTGCACTTACCATGACATTTAAGTATTAAAGCATATACAGAAAAAGTAAAATACAATTAAACTTACATGTGCATTAGCAGGATTTAAGGACATGTCTATTCTAGCAAGATCTTCTGTCCAAGAAGCAACAGATGGATTATAGTTTGAATCCCAGAAACTTTCTCTAACAGGTGTTAAATCAAAACCAGGCCAATCATCTATCAGAAAACATGAATATTGATTGGAAAGTATCATTTCTAAGTTAATGAATAACTTATGTATCAGCAATATTTTCAGAAAATAAGTCTAATACATTCAAGAGTAATACAACAAAATGTAATCAAATAGGTAGGATACATTTCCGATTTAACTTGATTTACATTGCAAGAACAAATTCGCTGATAATGCACACACATATCTATTTTGCTTTCATTCTTTGCATAACTTATATCATAAATGATTGAATATTTTACAAACACATTTAGGGATTACAGAGAAGATAAGAAATTTTAAGTAAGGGTAAGACTGTAGAGACATTAGGTTATTTTGAAGCTGGAGAAGTGCAAAATGTGCAATGCCCTCGCCGGGACCTCTAAATACATGCCGAGTGTGCTACCATAACACCATGAAGGCATGCAGAAAGAAGGGGAAAATACCTTATAAAATAAAAGAACTGATGCAGTTCATATTGAGAAATACTTCATGCAGCAAATTTAAAGCAACAAATCAACTATGACCTCTCAGGAGTTCAATACAGAATTTCACTTTTGGCTAAAACATAAATGCAAACCTTAGAAGAATTAAGAAGTACTTGCATTTCACTACTAGTACATTATTGTTAAAGAAATTATGTTTTAAATCAATAATCTGTTCTGTTTAATGGTTGCAGCGTTTTATGACAGCTTTTATCACAGAAATAACAAATAATGGATTTTTTTAAATACATAACACAAATTCTCCAAATGTAAATGAAGTGATAAAATGCTTTTGAGTAAAGAAAAATGATTTCTTGTAAATTTATCAAACCATGGATGCAAAATAAAGAGATAATATTAGGTTCAGAAAGAAACTGTATACATCTTTCATTAAAGCCCTCTAATTGGAGTTTATTTCTCGTTCTTTACGAGAAAAATTACCTATTTGGAAAAGAAGTTGTCATAGTAATATCATAGTAATAGTCAACTTTCGAAGTACTTTCTTCCATCACACAACTCTTGAGTAATTAAAGGTGTTAACTCGCATTTAATTATTATTAAAATCCAGTTTAGATATCATGGTTGAGCATGTATTAATACTTTTCATTAAACAAATACTTCAAATAAATTTTAATTTCTAAATCAGACATTTAAAAAAAGTAGATTCAGATTTGCATAAAGTTCTTAGCTCAAATTGCAGCTTTTCATATGAAAAACACATTTTTAAACTTCAAAATATTATTTGTATGACATTGGGAACAAATAAATTTCTAAATCCTTTGTCAAAATCAAGCAATTTTAAGGAGCCACAGGCTAATCATGTTTACAGAACATGATGGTTTGGTTTATTTGATTACGGCAAAGCACACGATGGCTACCTCCCTAAGGGCGTTCAATGAAAACACCCATGCAGCCCACCCATTCATTGGATTCAAGCTCAGACGAACTAGCAGCATTCAGCGACTTTTCCACTCGGCTGCCGGTGGGCCCAGAGTATGATAGCACAGCACAAGAAAGGAACTATGCACTGATTTGCCTATTCATGTTAGTCTTATGCTTATGTTAGTTTATAAAATTTTATATGATCCTATGATTTTTATTTATATATGCCATTACTTGTCTTTGCATAGTGTTGTATTTATTATCCCATTATCTATTACTTTAAAAATGTTTACTACAGTACAAAGTCTTTAATCCGGACTCGTCGGGACTTCAGCGATTCCGGATTATAGATCATCAATTTAAATCTGGTTAGATGGCATGCAGAAATTATACAATTAAAAGTATGAAACCGTAATTTATGAAATAAAGAGCAATTATGATCTAAAGGGTATCAAAATTGACAAAAAAAAGCTTAATATTTGTTTACTTTATTAAACATTTCTTTCAATGCAAGTTGTTTAAGTTGCTTCTTTTTTTGTGCTAACACTTTCTCTTTAATTCTATAAACAGACATAATTTCTTGTTCAGTTCTACTGTTCAAGTCCTGTAATTGCTGTGTCGAGAATACCGACTAACTTGTCAATCAAAATTTTTTCGTTTTCAATAACATGTCTGTCACTTTTTTCACTATCGGAAGCGGTACATTGAAACATGCTTTCGCTTTGTAGATCCTTTGGCAGCTCCGGAATCGGAAACTCTTTTTGACATAATCGAAAGTTCAAGCTTACTTTTTATAAAATTGCTCTAACAGTCTGTAAAAAATAATAAGCCGGATCGAATTAGAAGATTAAGGAACAACGCAATCTGCAACATTAACTGAAATAGATAATTGGATAATTTTAGCCTACCTTATACCATCCGTTATACATTAAACGTGCATGCGTAAAGGTATTATGCACATGTGCAATTGCTACGCATGCGCAGAAAGTTTGTAGCTTTGAGGTCCGGATTAAAGACTTTGTACCGTAGTACTTTTACTTTGATTGGCTTGACCAAGATGATAAGAAGGCCCAAGGAAAAACTTAAAAGGCCTTTTATATTAATTTCATAAGTTTTTTATTATATAAACTTTATAAGGCCCAAATATAGATTTGCTTGAGCATCAGATGCTCTGTCAAGATGACATGAGTGGTACTGCGACTAATGCCCAACATGAGCAGAATGTCTTCCACCATCGGTAATCTCTGACAACAGCATCCACCACAGTAATGACAGAAGGGGTAACGACACAATGAGCCTGTCCTGACCAACAGCTGACACCCGACCTTGTTATTATTTATTCCATTAAAAAATGTAAGGCGAATACACATGTGACATAGTGTATTTGCTTTACACGGCAGACATTCAGGCATGAATGTCACTTCCTGATATTCCTTCCATAATAAAAAAAAAATGTATTACAGCAAGCTGTTTCTCTTTCCTGGCCTCCATCATACTGGCAGACACACACACACTCGCTGACCCCACTTCGAGTCCACCTAACAGACAAATAATAAAATAGTGGGCATTCATGCTGTTCCTTCCTCATTCCCTATACAGAGAGCTTAAATATTTGCAACACAATTTTCAATCATAATTTTCATTGTGCCCCCCATACAATAACAATATATTAAATGCAATAATAATGCACTTTGATGCTAAAGCTACAATAGGACCTTAGTTATAAACCATGCAAATTACCAGGATAAGTATTAAATTTTGTATATGTCACTTATAAGTTATATATATTTTAAGTAAGTTACTTTTAAGTAATAGGATAAGTATTATGTTACTTTTCCTTACTAATTTTTAAATTGGAACAGATAGCAAAATAAACTGTAATTAAATTAAATATTTATTTCATCAATCATCCATTTCTAAAAGTACAAATGTCATTAGAAAAAGGTCTAGTTTCTGTTGATCTTTATCCATCACATTCGGTATTATCGCAGATTTATGGGCAACCTATTGAGTCTGCGCAAAACTTGTATAAATGCTGCACCTCGTTCAATTCCAGTCAGTCGTGGTTGAATCGATCCTTCTATCACCACCAAATCTATCTTGAATCTGCTGCATTTTGTAATTTGTACGTTATTTACAATTCATGGTATTAAATAATGACAGTAAATTTAAATAGAATTTTGGATAAATTTTTAAGTTGTAAGCGAACATTAGATGATAATAAAGCACCAAGTGGTGTACACACGAGCATGGATCTGAAAATTAAATCAAAAAAATATTTTCAAGAATACTTAAATTTTTGGGTTTACTGCTACTGAAGTAAATGAAGAAGAAAGGCCCCTCTGTGTTATTTGCTAAAAAATATTGGCAGCAGACAGTATGCAACCTAATAAATTTAAACAAAATTTGGAAACGCTTCATAGTGATTACGATAACAAAACCCAAGAATTTATTTTACTTATTTAATTTAAATTTTTTAATTAAAATCATATGAAAAGCAACAAATATTAAAAAAAAAAAAAAAAAAAAAAAAAAAAAACTTTGTCTGTGAATGAAAAAGTTTTACTTGCTTTTTAGTGTCTTGTATAAAATAGCCAGACGTAAAAAGCCTCACACCATTGGAGAAGAGCTTATTTTGTGAGCTGCAACTGAGATCGTAGAAACTACGTTAGGAGATAATTTTGCTAAAGACTTGTAATCCATACCTCTATCAAATGATACTGTTGTTCGCCATATCAATTATATTTATATATAGCTGAAGATGTACAGCAGCAGCTTTTCGGAAAATTGTGTGACAAATTGTTTTCAATTCAGCTTGATGAGGCAACAGATAGCAATAAAGATGCTCATTTCATTGCGTATGTTCGATTTTATGATGGTATGTCAGCAGTACAACTACTTTTTTATAAACCAATAAAACTCAAAGAAACAGCACTAGCATTATTTGATATTTTAAATAATTTTATAAATGAGGCAAACAAAGAGTGGAAAAATTGTGTTAGAATATGCGCCGTTGGTGCTCATACAATGTCTGGAAAATTCCAAAGTATACAAGCACTTGTGAAACAAAAATCTTCACTGGGCATCTGGACACACTGCATGATCCACAAAGAATCTCTGGCTTTCAAAGAAATGAATGACCAAGAAATGGTCTGAATATTCTGCAACTGACAGTTGTTATCGTAGCAAATTATATAAAAATGAGATGCCTAAAATTAATATTCTTTTCTGTACTTTGTAAAGACATGGGTGCAGTACATTCATCATTGCTATTTTATTTTATTGCGAGGCAAGATAGTTATCACGTGAGAAAGTTTTGCCATGTGTTTATGAATCAGGAGATGAAATTGCCCGACATGAAACTGAGAAGTTTCGAGATGGTTTATTTAGGATGAAATTAAGCTACTTGGTCAATTACTCGAGAAATTAAATACACTGCTAGCCACCGTAAATGCAACACCCTGAAGGAAGCATGCAAATAACATGAAATTTACAACATGCATTAGCGGAGGTGAGATATGCAAATGATTAGAATTTCAGCGCAGACGCACATTACGCGTGCCTGTGGCGCCACTTCAAAGCGCTATTTAAGGCTTGGAGTTTTCGACAATTGTGTTTTTCTTGTGATTTTTTCAAAAAAAAAAAAAAAAAATTATGCCTTGTAGTAAACAGCGATTATCGTTTGATCAAGTATCCGAGTACGACAGAGGAAGGATAGTGGCCTACCGAGAGTGTGGATTATCTTTTAGATCGGTAGTCGTGTTGGACGAAACCAAACAACTGTAATGCGAATATGTGACTGTTGGATGCAGGAGGGTACGACAGACCGACGTGTTCGATCACATCCACCTCAGTGCATCACTTCGCGTGATCACAGGAATATTGTGCACATAACAGTGACGGATCGCTCAGTAACATCACAAACCATAGCACAGCACATTCACTCTGTAACGCATTATCCAGTGTCTGCGCGTACCATTTACAGCAGAGTGGTCTGTCCGCAAGACGTCTCCGTCGCCGATGGTGCGATGAAAGAAGGATGTGGACGGCAGAATGAAATGAAATTGTCTTTACTGATGAGTCATGCTGTCTGCAGCACCACGATAGTCGGATCCGAGTCTGGAGACACCGTGGAGAGAGGATGCTGAACAGCTGTGTTATGCACCGCCAAACTGGTCCTGCACCGGGTATTATGGTATGGGGCAGTACTGGATATCACTCTCGCACTCCTCTAATACGCATTGCAGGTACTTTAAACAGCCAGAGCTACATCTCCGAGGTGTTGGATCGAGTTGTCCTTCCTTACCTTCAGGGCTTACCCACAGCCATATTTCAAAAGGATAATGCATGACCACATGTGGCACGCATTGTCCAAGGGTTCTTTGTCAATCGTCAGATTGAATTGCTTCCCTGGCCGGCTCGCACTCCGGATCTTTCGCTGATAGAAAACATGTGGTCCATGGTTGCTGAACAATTAACCCAGAATACATCACAAGCTGCCACACCATATCAACTTTGGCAATGTGTGGAAGCTGCTTGGTCTGCTGTACCCCAAGAACACATTCAAAGTTTCTTTGAATCAATGCCGAGGCGTATGGCAGCAGTGATCTCCAACAATGGCAGCTACTCTGGCTACTGATTCTGGAAGGTACCACACTTCACAGAAGTCTGTAAATTTAATCATTTGATACTTGGTCAACATGTTATCTACTAAATAAATTTTGCTGTGATATCATTTGTCTTTCTTGGTGTTGCAATTTGGGTGGCCAGCAGTGTACCTTGAATCTTCAACTCCAAGGAGCAAATATACATATATTGGAAACAAGTGATAAAATTAATGCTTTATGCAGAAAATTGGAATTATGGAGCAAAAATTTAAAGCCCCCCCCAAAATTGAAATGTTTGAAAATGTGGATAAATTTACAAGGCTAAAGAACAACATGTGAAAGTTGTTTTCAAAAACCATAGAAAATTATGCTGGTAAAGAATTTTAAAAAGTATTTTCTTGCTGGGAAAAACTTGATAGCAAGATATGAATGGGTTTGGGATCCATTTCAAAATACTACAGAAGGGCTCTCAACTGTCGAAGAAGAAATCTTCATAGATTTCATATCAAGTGGCAAAATCAAAAGGCAATTTAATAATAAATCCCTTTTTCAATTTTGGGCAGAGGTGGAAGATAAATTTTCTGCACTGAAAACAAAAGCATTTCGTATACTATTACCACTTCCAACATCCTACCTTTGTGAAACTGGATTTTCTGTGGTGGCTGCTCTGAAGACAAAATACAGATCTCAGTTAAACATAGAAAAAGAACTTAGAGTGTCAATTTATAATAATAAATCTTCTTTTGAATAACTTTGCTCTGCAAGACAAGCCCATGGGAATCACTAGTAATTATTAAACTTGTTCTTAATTTAGTACTTATAAATTAATTATCAAATACATTGTGCAATACTGATACATTTATAAGTACATTGTATCAGTGTATTTTATTTTTATTAATGACAGAATATATTTTGTTTTGCTTCTTTTAAGTAAATTAATAATTTTTTAAATAATCTTTGATTTTCAACTTTTCAATATGCTCGCACCCCCCCTCCCCATGTAGGGTTCTCACAACCCCTAAAGAGATGCACCCTACACTTTCAGAACTGCTGCTTTACAGACTATCCCACTGGCAGAAAACGTGGAAAGAAATACTATGTAAAGACATTTTTTTTATCTTCTGGATCAAGCACTTTGGAATTCCTTTATTATTTATCAGTTAATTGTGGAACAAATCATTGAAGATAATAAGTCATACATTCACGCAACAGGATCAAGGCATCCTAATATGAGCTTGTTGTGACTTGCGGGTTGACACTTTCCTGAAGACATTCCACTAATGAAGAAAAAGACTACTCCAACCAGACAATATTTCCTTTGTTATCGTAAAACCGATGAAAAGGGAAAGAGGATACGATCTTGTGTGCCATGCCTTGTTTTCGTATATACCATACCATACTGTAAAGGATTTGTGACATTCAAAGGAATCTCTGAGGAACAGGGAGTTTTCATGACAGTTGATATAAGTAATAATATTGTTCTATTACATTTATCTTGAAAATAATATCATTTGATTTATTTTGCTATAACTTGAGCAATAATTACTGTAATAAATTAACATTTCCCATATATGTGAAAATATTGAATATAGTAGTTATTTAATTAAAAAAAATCTAACATTTTGATGATTTGATAAACAAACGAATTTAAAGAGGGGGGGAATTCTAGCTTTGGCACGTTTTTCTCAAATATATTCCACAGGCAAGGAGTTAAATTTTGAAGGCATTTCATTAAGATGTTTCTTTGTTGCCAGTAAAAATCCAACTTTAAAAATATGGTAGATTTGCATTAGGAAACTTTCTTCAACCAATGCAAATTGAAGATGTACACTAAATAGCTGAGAACTAAACTTGTTTTTCAGCTCTTTTGCAAAATTAAAATCCTGAGCTATAATTACTGTAAACACTTTTTTATCAATTAACTTAAACAGTCCATGCAATGAATTTTTTAAACATATTTTTGAACCTAAAATGCATGAGG